GAGCCAATCAGGAACTGCGTGAAGAGGAACAAAAGCTTACCATCAAGGTTGAGAAAATCGAGTAAGACATGTTCAAAGGTTGTACCGATTGAAGTGGCTGAAAAAGAAGTGATTGCAGCAGAAAAGGCTCAAGCTGAAATAACAGCTAGAAAGCTCATTAACCGCAGAAGCAAGACAATGGTCGAAGACGACTTCGCATTGATGAATGATTTTTCAATCGAAAACGCGGTGGGGCTTGGCGAGTTCAAGGGCCGAGAAGGTATAGATTCAGAATTCAACTCTGACACATTCTTGTTCGACGATTCTCTTTGAAACTAGAGTACTTGCCAAAACAAAAGCCATGTTTTGGCAACAAATTTTGTTCCTGATTTTTATCATTTTGCACTTTACACTGAGTTTAAAATCAGATATTGATTGTATGAGCATTTTGGAGGAACTTTTAGATATGTTACAAGAAATGAAAGGTATCAATCAAATGCAGTAACTAAAGAAGACCACACAAGAACCAGATTCATGTCAAGATGTTGAGTCCAAAACATAGTAAAAGATCTGAAACAACAGTAAGGAACAAGTTACTAATAATGGAGTAGAGAAAATCCTAACAATGGTAATAAAAGCCCCAACTTTGATAATTGCACTTGCAAGAAGCTAATAGATCAAAACCAAAAGACCAAGAGTAGATCAATCAAGTTATATAGTCTGAACAAATTAAAGACAGAAAGTTCTCAGATACAGAGAGCAAGAGAAGAGCTACTCTGTTCCATGGCAGGAACAAGTGCAAAGCAGAGGACTCCACGGCACCTGAAAGACCAAACACTAACGTAGTCGTTCGCTTTCAATCCGTTAGCCTTAACGACATCGTTCCAACCACATGTCAAAGAGTAGTTCCAGCTTCCTCTTCCTGTCTCTTTCTTCATCTCCCATCTCTTCAACATCACACCGTACTTTTTCGACATCTGATCCACGAGAATCGCTCCAACTCCAGTCTTGTTATCGTTCTTGATGTCTTCTTCAATGATTTGAGACTCAACCGGCGTCAAGAAATCGTTACGGATTAGATGATTGAATGGCATTGAGAGACGGCTTTCTCCAGGGTTAACATCAGTATGGTATACAAATCCCTCTCAAAGATCAGTTTCAGGTCGGTTCCGTTCATGTTTTCCATCATCTGGAACAGCCACTTGGGTGTCTCTTTCCCTTTCCATGTAAAAGAAAGACCAACCTTTGCTTTCTTGGATTTACCATTACTTGGCTTTCTCTGTTTCATGGCACGTCTCTTTCGGACTCAGCCTTGTTGTAATCAACGAGTAAGGTTAAAGAAGAAGGAGGGTTTGTTAGGGTTTTGGTCTTGGAATAAGCTGCGATCTTGTAC